GGTCGCGCTGGTCAGGGCCTGTTCCTGCTATCGGGTTAGTGTGTTTTACCCCGTTTCTCCTGCGGGAGGTAGAGGGGGAGTATCGCTGGGACCCCACCTGCCAGGCCGTCCGGTCGGGTGCGGGCTGTGGGCAGGGGTAGGGCCCTGGGACGGGCTGCTGGGCCCCCCGGCCCCTTCCCGCTTGGATGGGGGCACCTGAGAGCAAAGGCCAGGATGAGCACGGCCCTGCAGGATCTTTGTTGTCGTGGGGGCATTTGCTGCGTGGTGAAGCAAGGAGGGAGCATCTCACCAGGGGCTCTACTCGGTGGTCGTTGTGGGATTTTCATGTAGCTCCCACCCGACTCCCGAGCGCACTGTGGTTCTGGGCATTTGAAGGCTGCGGTGGGCCTAGTGGTCATGCTGATACTGTCTATACTGGCCTTAAAATGAGCTGGTATCTAAGTATTTCAATACTATTTGGCTCTTCCCTCCCCACAAATCTTTGCTTTTGAACTACTGTGTGTTTCAGGAAGTTTCAGCTAACTTGAGGCACTTACAGCTGGGCTGTTCGGTTAATGACACTAATGTTTTTAATAACACATATTAATGTTGCTTGTCTGCATTCCATAGTCTTTTGGGTTTTTTGACATATGTTTTCTGTTGGAAAGTGTTCAGAAACTGATGGCAAACTCTTTGTTTTTCGATACTAACCTTACAGCCTTTTCCTGTGGAAGTGGTCCTGCTTACAGGATAAGTTTTTTGTAGTTTCATCTCCAGAACTGTATTTGAGGTAGTGAATTGCACCCAAAGCTATAGGAAGTGGTGGAAAATCAGTGATGGAAAAGCAAGGGAGTAGGAGAATAACATCACACTGCTGTTGAAATACAAGTTTCATATGTAAGAAAACAGTGTTTGCTTCTTGTATTTTTTCTTCCTCTTTCTTGCCTTCTTACTCTGCCCTCTTCAGCTTTTGTTTCAGTGCGTTACTTTGTACTAGCACAGATTTTGCAGGCCAAATGTTAATCTTAAACACACTGCTTTAGTGTTTTTTGTCTGCCTGTCTTTGGGATGACTGCACCTAATGGGAACAGGACCAAAGTCATAACTGCAGTGGAAGTGGATTATCTGTGGTTTGGAAGCTACGTATACATAAGACTTAAAAATTCTCTTAATTTTTTTTCTTCTTTTTCCAGATGGAGAAGGAAAGTTCATGGTTTGTGGTTTGCATAATAGCATAGGCTGAGTAGGCGTGAAGGAGACTATAGTGCGGGTGAGAAGTGTCAAGCCCCTTGCAAGGCTTTGCTCTGTAAAAAAGAAGAAATGAATCCTACAAGTGATGATCCAGTGTTTGGGACCATTTTTGACTGGGACTATCTCTTATGGGAAGTTCGTTTGATGTTTTTAGCTGCTGGTTTTTTTATCTACTTGGGAGTATTTCTTCTGTCTCACTGGTTGTCTTCATGGATAAGTAGCAGTTACCGTTCCTTGTATGGAAAGGAGAAGGTGTTTTGGAACATGGCGGTCACACGTGGTGTGTTTGGACTTCAGAGTTGTGTTGCTGGCTTATGGGCTTTGCTCATAGATCCTGTTTTTTATGCTGACAAAGTGTACTCACAGCAAAAATGGAGTTGGTGTAACTGTTTAATAGCTGCTGGATTTTTCTTGCTTGAAAATGTAGCTGTTCACATGTCCAACATTATTTTTAGAACATTTGATGTGTTCTTGGTAGTTCACCACTTGCTTGCTTTTGGTGGCTTGGCTGGCCTGGTAATTAACGTGAAATCTGGACATTATCTGCCTTTGATGGGAATGTTGCTGGAGATGAGTACTCCCTCAACGTGCATTTCCTGGATGCTTCTAAAGGTAAGAATGTGATGATTTTCATACTATGTTTGTAACAGTTTCCATGCATCTTGCTTGTCTATAGGTAATCTGTATGGTTTGTCCAGATAGCTTTTCAGCAAAACTGCTTTCTAACTGCTTTTCCTGTTACTCTGATAACTGCTTTTGTCCTGATGATATTTCTATGTTACACTCTGTGTGTGTGGATAGTGAGATGGTTTAGATTCATTGTGAGCTTGGGAAGCTGTATGCATGGGGGAGTAGCATAGATCTAGATGGAAAAAAATGCCTGAGAGTATGTAAATGTGAAAGCTGGTTATTTGCATTAGTTCTGCGGATTCCTCAGTGCCTTATCTTGAAGTAACAGTCTCACTTTTGTGTACTTTTTGTTCTTGTTTTTCTAGGCTGGCTACGCTAATACCTTTTTCTGGAAGGCAAACCAGTGGGTGATGATCCACCTGTTTCACTGCCGCATGATTCTTACTTACCACATGTGGTGGGTGTGTATTTTCAATTGGAATTCTGTGATGGAAAATCTGGGGCTTCTTCATTTTATGGTTTTATTCTCGGGATTATTTGCTGTCACACTAATACTTAACCCATACTGGACATACAAAAAGACTCAACAACTCCTCAGTCCAACTGATTGGAACTTTGAAAATAAAGCAACGGAAAATGGAAAATTAAATGGTGAAACACATGAAAAGAAGAGGATTTAGCACAGAAATGGCTGTTTCCTAGTAGGGTAGCAGAACAATACAATGCAAAATAATTATTTGCCCATGAAGTAGCAGCTTTTGCAAGAAGCTCATTGATAGAGCATCACTATGTATCAGAAGTATTTAAAAGTATTGTTTGTATTTCATACATACACATAAGATCTTCAGCCTCTTAGTTATGAATTGGACCAATGATTTGGTCAGGTTGGACAGTATTTCATTATTTAGTAATGACATGCTGTCTAAAACTATCATTTGTCCTAATGCTTCAAAGACGCTTTACAGTTAATTTGTCTGTTAAGCTCAGTGTGAATCAAGTTTAACCTGAATCCTATTTCACATATACCAGAGATACTGATACTGGAAGTTGTTTATTAAGATCAATTATGACCCAGGTTAGGTATGCATGGAAACCTAGGGTGCCATTAAATCATTCCAAGTGGCTGAATTGGTCAGTGGTAGAATACAGTCATGTCTGTGTTTTGGGGGGGGGGGTTGTGTACACTCCCTGCTTTTTGTAACATCTCAGAGAGATTGATAAAGGTAAAATATAGAGCTCCAACTCTTCAACTTCTCATAGTGACAAGGGGGAACTTTGCTGACTTTCACCAACTGGAGAAGTGGCCACAATTACTTTTCAAAGAATATTTTGAGCAATAGTAAGATATAAGCACCTGAAAGAGACAACTTATAAACCATGCATGAAATTCAGGTCAGCTCTTGATGAGGAACAGCCAGCTCTACTTTCCTATGGAGACATTACAGTCTACTCTTTACTGTGTGTAATGTTTTGTTGTTTATTTTGTTGTTGTTGTTGTTTTTGTTTGTTTTGTTAGTTTGTTGTGGTTTTTTTTTTTGGGGGGTTTTTTGGTTGTTTTGTTTGTTTGTTTTGCTTTTTCTTTAAAGTGTGCTTGAGGAAGATGATCGAGTGTTCACTGTCAAAGTGAGTTGTAGTTGCCTTCTGTATGGAAGGTGTTCATATCCACCACAAAAATGCATGAAGGGATGCAGGCATTTGTTATACTGTTGGTCTAGCTGGGTTATCATAGCGGTCCCTTCTGGACTTAATAAAATACAAGAGACAACAATAGAACAGTTTGACTCTCTTTCATCCTTGAAAAGTTTGCTGGTTGATGGATAAAATTATTTTCTTTTTAGGTCTCACATGAGTGGTCATGCAGTTAGTTCCACTAATGCTTCTGTTATCCTCTTGTTTTTGGAAGTTCTCTTAGTTTCAGAATCTGAGGTGACTCCTGTGGAGAAAAGGCCAAATCATCTCCTTCAGGAGTTCAGCTGTTTTTACAGTATTTTTATTTTACTTTGAAGAACATACAAAGTGATGCTAACTATCCTTTGCACTTTATCTGCCACATCACTCAATCTTTCCTTGACCTAAGGAATAGGTTGCTTTTTTGATAGAGACTTGGCAAATTGTGGTGGATGTTTTTCCAATAGTAGCATTAGTCTAATGGTTTCTGGGTGTAATGTTGGACAGCAGATGAAGCTATGAAGATCAGGACAGAAGAGAGTGACGCCTAGTGGCAGGAGAGCGACAAAGATACTAATTAGTTTTGGTGCTCTGTAGTAATTAGATGAAAAACTCGTCGGCTGCAACTGTCGAATAGTGTGATGTGGCCGCTATACAGATTTATTTTCCAAAGTGAAAAGACTGAGTAAGCCTAAGCTATGAAGAATTTTAGGTCAAGGCATGTGTTAGAAGCTTTCTGTACTGAACTGTATTAGATCATACTGTTCTAAATGTGTAAGGGAAGCACTCTTTGGTGTAAACAACTCCATTAATTTTTAGTGAGAATGTACGTCATTTTGTTCTGAGTAAAGGGAGGAAGATAGTGGTCAGGTTGCTGTGTTTCTTAACTCTGTGTGTGCAGAGTTGAACAACTGCTCTCTAAGGGAGAGGAAACATTGTTCTGTTAGGTCACAAATGTATAGACAGATCTTGTTGATAATGATGAAGTGGTAAGTGCTTGAAATTGCCTGTTCAAAACTAGGCTGAGAGGTTCATAGTAATTTTATGCAGCAACCCTATTATTGTCCTGCTGATACTCCATAGGAAAAAAAAATATATCTAAATTTTGTGCTACCTTCTAATTTCTAAGCAGGCCTTACTGAGTTTGCAGTGTTTTGGCAGTGTGGCCTGTCTGGATGCCATCCTATAGGTAAAAAAGAGTTACTAAAACTGGGAATTGCATACCTCTCCTATGGGATTGTGTGTGAGAGAAATGTTAAAAGTACTATAGAAAAAAAAATAGAGGGATGAATTCTTCACGAACAGAACCCAAAAATGTGATCCAAATGCGTAGCTTGCAGAATTGAAACTTCCCTTGCAGGAGTTGCAGGTGGGAAGGTAGAGACTTAAGTCACCAGATACCAAAATAATGGTGTGCTCTATGCATCTAAAAGGTTTGGATTCAATAAAATAAGGTAATAATTATAAAAATCTCAGCAACAGAATTCTGAAGAGTCCTAACAAAACCCAGAATCATCAGAAGAAAAATAAGTTTGGGCCAAGTGTGTTAATTCCTACAGTGTCTGGGTAAAGGTGGTAAAGTTTTTATATGTTAAATAAAGAAGTACAGAGAGTTGGGGTTACCAGTGTATTTGGGAGTTAAAAAAGCTTGTAGATGTGGTCCAAGCAGACAAGTTGATGGTTATAGTAGTGACACCAGGCTTATAAAGCTTTTCTGTATTACTAATTTCTGTCATGTTAAGTGGATTTTGAATCTTATTAAAAGTATTTTTTATCATAATAAGGCAATCTTTTTAATATGCATCTTGGTGTCAATTTTTTCACACGAAGATTGGTATGGCATATCTCAAAAGCCTTTTCCATGTCTTACCTATATAATTAATGATAGCTAAGATCACGTATTAACCTAAACACTGCTAGGCTTGCTAGAACAAGAGAGCTGTGCACTGATTTTATTTCTGTTGACTTGAGGAGTGAAGGCATTTTACAAGCCAGCTAGAAATGTAACAGGATAAAAAAAGATTCTTCATCTTCATGACCAAGAGTTGAAATTACTAGTTCTGTTAGACAGAGCCTCTTTTTTATTACTTGAGTGTCTTTACTGCCCTTTGGCTGCTGCCTTCAAGAGGATGTTCTGGCTTATGATTGTGGATGACTGTCTCATTGCTCTGAAACAATACAAAAAAAGTTCTCTAAATGAGGATTTTGGTGTCTAATTATTCTTAAAACTAAGTACTTCTTTTCAACACAAAGGTAGACTAGTCATCATTTGTTTATAGATTTTGTTAATGTGAAATTAATCCCAGTGCTATTGGGCCTGTTTTATAAGGCCTCATCTGCAATCCAGTATAGAAAAATTCAGTCATTTTCAGTAGGGTCTTGATCATGTCACAGGGTGTGCTGCTGCCATGATTTTGGAGGCTCTTGCATAATATGTTTTTGGGTAATATTTTGTCTGCCTAGGTGACTGTTAAGAGACTTCATCCTGCTTTCTTGTTGGACCAGCTTATCCAAGGAGTGCTTTTTTTGTCACCTTTCTGGCTGAAGCTTTTTTAATTAAACAAAACAAAAACCAAACCAATGAGCCATGATGGATGTGGGGATGTTTGGTAAGGGATTTTTCATTTGTTTTGAGTTTTGTTTTATTTTTTTTAAAAGAAAAATGTCAAGATCTAAGACACCCTAGCCAGGCATCTGGTTCTTGCCATCTTTGTACAACATTCCTAAATCACAGTTTGCATTTCTCTCCACTTATGTCCTGCCTTACATTTTTTCCAGAAATTTTCATTGTTACCCTTCTTGCCCACCAATTTTTCTAGAAAATTTGCTTGCAGTACTTGTCATGATCTTGCAGCAGTTGAATTACTTCAGTGATGCCTTTATCTTGCAGTTTTCAGCATGTACTGGTGGGCCCTTCTTCCATTAAATACCCATGTTCAAATCTTACAGGTTTTTTTGCGTTTTTTTCTGATAACACTCATATATTGCTGTCATGTACAGCAATAAGACACCTTTCTTAAACTCAGGGAGAGTCCCACTTAAAGTGAATTTAGAAGTGTTATACAAATTCAAGTCTGCTCTTGCACTGTAACGTTTGTTGAATGGTACAGCATCTTTACTCTGTGTACATAAATAAAAGTATTCTATTGAATAACTGTCTGCTGTGACTTTCATTTAATGATGAAGATAATGCCTATTGTTTTTTACTTGCTGTTTGTAGCTTGAACAATTTTTTCCGGGTGTGCACTAAAAGGATTACTTGTTTATTTTGAAATATTCTGTTAAACTCGTCAAAGGTAATGTCACATTCATGGAAATAGCTATAAAAGTTTGTAAACTAGTGTCTCTTCTCCAACATGTAACATACTACTAATATGAGCATGTATAGTTACATGACTAAAATGCTAGAAGCTGTGCCATATAGGTAAGTGTATTAAGAAAAAAAAAGCAGTATTTTTGCATTTGTCTGTATTTGTATTTGTCTGTAACTGTGAAGACACTTCATTTGCTACCAGATGACACTCTATGGTTCAGTGTGCACCACCTTAAATTTTAAAGAAACGACCTGCAACAACTTTGTCTCATTACTAAATAAGAAAATAAAATTATAAGCACTAAGCATGTGTAACTCGCATGGTGCTTTGCAGGAACTAATTTCTGATGCTTTTTAGCATTGAAAATAATACCATTACTGGTGTTGTAAGTGTTCTTACAAAAATGCACAGTGTAAGCAACTGGCTGGCATAATTTTGCCGGCTGCCTCTGCATTCAAGTCCATGAGATTAATTGAAGCAGAAAAATGACATTTACGTGTAAAGCTTCACTAACTGTGGAATGTGTGTGGGTACAGACTGGGATGAGAAGAACAATACATAATACTATGGGATTAATAAAGCCCTTAAAAAAAAATCTAAAAGGAATTTAAACATTTAATATTTTGTTATTCAGATGTTTTCAGTTAATAAGTAAATACATTTTACTTAGTTCTTGCCATATTCCCAGGAAAATATTA